GGTTGGTTAGTTGATGGTAAGTGGTTGGTTAGTTGATGGTAAGTGGTTGGTTAGTTGATGGCAAGTGGTTGGTTAGTCGATGGTAAGTGGTTGGTTAGTTGATGGTAAGTGGTTGGTTAGTTGATGGTAAGTGGTTGGTTAGTTGATGGTAAGGGGTTAGTTAGTCGATGGTAAGGGGTTGGTTAGTCGATGGTAAGGGGTTGGTTAGTCGATGGTAAGGGGTTGGTTAGTTGATGGTAAGTGGTTGGTTAGTTGATGATAAGTGGTTGGTTAGTGTATGGTAAGTGTTTGGTGGTCTGTTATTGACCAATTGTTAATCAAACAATTTTTACGACACAAGTCTAATATTATTTCAAGCTGTTTCTTTTTTTTCAAAGTTTGCTTAACTGCAAGGTTTGTTCTGGTCCAAAACTAACGTTACAAGTAAATAATCAAAACTACGTCGATCTTTTTTTCCAAGTCGTTAAGCTAGCAACGCGATAAACTCCTCTAAATACATTTGCAGCACGACACCCGTTACTAGGCAACGATACAAGTTTAAGCACTATGGACAMAAACACCTGGATTGTTGGGTCGATTGTTGCTAGCTGGCACTRCTGCTGTTCCATGATTAGCTTTGTTGCTATGGTGACCTGGAGCAACCAATGAAATTGATGTAGAGAATATGGACATACAGACAGGATTGTCTGGTATCGTCTCGTCTATACCCATGCAGTCCATCCTTCGTACATCTGGCTGAGATTGTCTAGACTGGTTGCTTCATGGATAACATGGTCAACCTTGAGGAGAAGTCACAATTCAAAATAGGAATCATTTGTGATGAGAGAAAACCAGCAGTAGCAAGGGCGGCAACCACGACAGCAGCAGCAGCAGCAGCAGCAGCAGCAGCAACTACAACAGCAGCAGCAGCAACGACAACAGCAACAACAGATGCAAAAACCATGCAGCAGCAACAGTAGCAACAGCAAAAACAACAACAGCAACAGTAGTAACAACAGTAGCAGCAAAAATAACAACAATATTAAAAAGAAACAATAATAAAGAAAAGTAATAAAACCCTACCTGGTCCGCTACAGACATTCTCTTTGCTTGATCCGCATCCCTGCCATCGAGTTTTGCTTTTACTTTCCTCCACACACTAATGGCATATGTGTTACGCTGCTGTAGAGCTGTTATCAGATATCAAGCTATCAATATACATCATACTAAACCATAGATAATATACATCATACTAAACCA